ATGGAGGCCTGACACGATGAGCAGCCCTATTATCATGCTCTTATATTTATGGATGGTAATTGTAAGAGTGTAGTTGACAGCGTGTGTGTGAGTGTGTGTGTTTAAAAGAGAGAGTGAGAGAGAGAGAGAGAGAGAGAGATTGAGATGAGGGAGGAAGTAGAAGAGGACTGCAGTAGTGACCAAAGTCTCATCCTTCCAAAGCCACTGTCACATCTTTATTAGAGCTATACATCACCACAGCACACACTGACCCTGTGTGTGTGTGTGTGTGTGTGTGTGTGTGTGTGTGTGTGTGTGTGTGTGTGTGTGTGTGTGTGTGTTACAGAGAGGGACGACAGCTAGTTGACAGATTAGTAAAAAAGACAGATTGTAAGAAAAATTCACATTTAAGGACTTGACGTTTTAGAGTTCCTGTTTTTTCTGTAAATTATTTGTTGATTTGTAGAGCGGGTCACAATGTCCCAACACAGAAGTGACGTAGTGCAGGTCCAGGCATTGAATATTCTACGTTTGATTGTATCTGTTATCTTAAGGTATGAAACTACCTCCTGTTGCTTGGAAGAACAACTTGAGCGATTCATCGAATTTGGGTGAATTATGGAAATTACTTTTGTCTCGGCTGGCGCGTGACAAAAGACAAATAACACCAGCGTGGTACAGCCAGTATTTAAACTGTTAGATGAGTAAAAGCAAGATAACAAGGAAACGTGGTTAAATAATTAAGAAAGAGAAAGAGACAGTGTTTGTTATGTGCATGGAGGAAAATGTGAGTCTGTAACTGAGGGTTTTTGTAAGTGTGAGTTCCACATGAGTGACTTGGCTGAATGCTTGTGTAGGGGACAGGCTGGAGTTAGTCTGCATGGTGTGTGTTTGTCTCTGAGTTCTATAGTAACGTGGTGATGCTGGATGTTTTTGGACTTGCGTCACAGTCTCTGTTTGCTCCCCTCTCTCCGACCCTCCGTACCTGTCTTCTTCCTTCCTCTCCTCCTCGTTTTATCTCTCCCCCTCCTGGCTTTTCTTCCATATGAGGATTTTCCTCCCCGCCTACTAACTGCAAGTCCCTGGTGTCCATCATCTGTGTTGCAGCAGTACTGAGCTCAGGTTGAGATATTTTTGGCAGAGATACTCTCTCGATCACTTTCTGATACAGACTCCGATGCCATTCATTTGCAAATCGACCAACAACTTGCATATTGTAACAGTTTTGTGCTACTGCATGTAAGTGATGGTATCTTTGTTGTATGGCCCAACACTGGTGCAACTCTGAGCTCTACGTCACATGTGGCAGTTTTACTTGCGGGACATTTCAGAATGAATTTAGAGTTAAAGCTGTAATTGCCAGTGGCAGAACAGCACAGCCTCTGTGTGATTGCTGGAAGAAGAAGATTGCAGCTTTATCAGGGTGACACTTAATTACTTAAAAGTCGTGGTATCGGATCATTACATGGATACTCGCAGGTTCGACCTCTTGTTTTCAGAAGTACTTTGGCCGCCCGTGTGTCTTTCTGCTTGATTTGCAGCAACAAGGAGATAAATGTCAAACAAGAATGTAGATTAAGGTGCGTTTTACTTAATATTGTAATGACTGTGATTTTAGCGCAAAGCATTACTTACGTCGCGTTAAGAGGAGAAGTGATTTCCTCCATCCACCTGCCCTCCTCCTCCGTCTCTACCGCTTCACCTACATTGTCCCTGAAAAGCCTCCATCAAAGGGTGTGCTGTCAGTCTAAATTATGTCAATCACCTCCTGTCTGATCTGCAGCGATGTCAGTTATTGATGACAGGATCCAAATTTCCGGTTCTCTGGTTGTTTGTGCTCGTCCCTGGGTGATTGAAGACTGTGGAGAACAGTGTAATGTTTGTCATCAATCAAGGAACATAATGATGAAGTAGTTATTTTACTGTGAGAATCCTGCACTTATTATAACAACTACATTAAGGCAGTGTCCTCATCTGGCTGTTGGTATTAGCGGTACTACTCACGGCTGAGTTATCCAGGGAGAGTATTGGTTATCTGCAAATATTATCCTGGACAGGATCATAAATTTCACTTTTGTGTGAGAAGTGTCACTTTTATTGTGAGAGAAAAGGTTGAGGGGTGAAAACTTATATGGCAAAGCAGAGACAACAAGCATTGAAAAGATAAATCGATTAGATATATATAAGTCTATTAAAGACCCAATCACTCAAAGTATGCTGCCACCACGTGACTGCAGATATGTATTTTGTCATAAAACGTGTTCCATTATTAAAAGTGATGGTGGGTTGGAGTATTTGAAGGTGAAGATGCTGCCTCTGTGCAGCTCATGACGCGTTCAATTGAGTTTCCTGTAGTGTAGTTCATTAAATCCACTGTGAAACTGCTTCTGGTGCTCTAACTTTGTGTGACCCCGTCCCCTCCGCGATGTTTATGTAACTGTTTTAAAGACTCGAGACACATTTCCTGCTCTGTAGTCAGCAGAGGGAAGGAGGACAAACCTCGATCAGAGGAGGAGAGAGTGAAACCATCCGACTGAGGAACAGGAGTCGAATAAACATGTCGGGAGGAGATTTCTCTTTCCCACAGAACAAGATGCACTCAAAACAAAACTCTGTCGTAGACTGAGCGATACACACATCACTTTCAACAGGCAACAGCATGTACGACAAGTGTAGAACATTCTGTGTCAGCAATTATTACCTCCGGCATTACGTCTTCATCAGCGTTGAGTAGCAGGATTACCCCAAAACAACAATGGAAGAACCCATTAAATTTAGATGTGTGATAAGTGTTATTGATGAAAATGTTGGGTCGAACCTGCGAGGATCCATTAATGATCCGATACCACGTCTTTTAAGTAATTTGGTGCAGATCCAAATGAAATCCATTTAGTGAATTAAAATGTGGTTACGCTGTTGGGCCTTGACAGTGCTGCGTGCTCTGAGTTATTTGATAATTGCATCTACATCGTGGTGAGATCAGTTATTTATACAAATGTTATTTTTGTTATTAGCGTTATATGTGTTCTGGTTTTGTTTGCTAATATTTCATATTAAAGTAATGTGTGCTTGCAAAAACATTTCAACAAGAGATATATTATATATCAAATGTGGGCAAAGCTGCAGCATTACTAAATATGATATTCAAACCATTCGCACAATCTTGTTTATAAAGCATGTTGTGGCCTTAACGGACAAAATATTTCCGCAATGCGAAATGTGAAGTTTTTCTCCGTGAGCTGTGTTTTCATCCTGATAATTAAAAAAAACGAGTGTAAGTGTAGTCTGAGTGTTTTAATCACAGGCTGGTTGTTCAGAGCAGCAGAGCAGCCAAGAGAGCTCTTGACTGTGGCAGGCTCTTCATCTCCTGCCCACACACACACACACACACACACACACACACACACACACACTCTCGACATACACTCATTTTCTCTCCTGACCATCAGGTAAAATGAGGTGGATAAGTGGATAATTATGGGATGTTTATGAGTGTGTTCCATCTGTTACCAACAGTTTAACAAATACTGTGTGAAAGTCTGTCTGAACTGTGACTGATGAATCCTGAATGTAGTAAAGAAATATAATGATAATATATTTTAAATGACACAAAAACATCATGCATCCATCCATCCATCCATCCATGCATCCATCCATCCATCCATCCATCCATCCATGCATCCATGCATCCATGCATTGCGCTCATTGTTTATGGGTCGGGGGGGGGCTTGAGTCAGTCCCAGCTCACATTGGTCGAGAGGCGAGTTACCGATATGCCAATCATCCCTTTATCCATTTTCCATATCCTGTGCAGGACAGTGATCGTCTGTAGCCTCCCCCTGCATTTCAGATGGGATTTGTGTAACTTTTAAACTCTCAGACTTTGGTGTATTACTCTTCAGACATAACGTATTTGTCAGATCCTTGGTTCCTTATAAATTCTTCTTGTTGCCATCTTGCAGTCATTGTGTTGTAGCGTTCAACCACTTCTACAAATGCATTGGAACACGCACCCTTTGTCTCTTTTTGAATCCGTGGGTTTACTCACAGGGGCTTTCACGGGTTTTATAAAGTGAGATCCTGCATAAACAGACACTTCTCCAAAATTCATTTCAGTTTGTTTTAGTACCACATCGGCACCGGGGGCAGCATAAAAACCTTTATTTTAGTGGAGCGTTGGGGGGAAACTAATCCAGGGAGCGCCCGAGTTTCTGCTGTTGCTCAAAAAGAGAAATGATGAAAGCTGCTGTGTGTGTGTGTGTGTGTGTGTGTGTGTTGGCTGGGTGGGGGGGACACGTCACTGACAGCTACGTCTCTTTGTAAGAAGAAGACATTATTCCCTATTGAAACATTTGTTGAGTCACACACAGTGTGGCTCTGCTGTAACTCTCCATGTGTAAATGTCTCTGTTAAATCTTCTCCAAGTGGTATTTGAAAAACTGGGAAGTGCTCTGACTGCAAATCTAATATTCTGTTGTAACCTCTCGCTTTGTTTAAAAGGATTCTTTAAAGTCTTTCACCTCAATTTCGGTGAAATCGTGACGATCTGAATCTACATGAAAGCATCATCACGGTGCTGACTCTCCTGAAACTGTTTTCAGACGTGCACTGAACTCCAGATAATCTCCTGAAGGGCTGTATGTGAGAGGAGTTTTTCTCCCTGGTAAAAACCAAACCAAACAAGAAGATAACAAATATCTCAGGATTTACAAAAAGGAGCCATACGTAAGATGTTGAGAGAGCTTTTGGCCGACGCCAAGGTCGATGCGATGTGACCGAAAACGTGATCTCCGCAGCAGTATTAAGCACATACACAGATGTGATGCATATCAGGGGTCAAAGTTCACCGAAATTCAACTCCACGTGAAACCAGGCTGCAATTTTCATCTCTACAGGAAGCAAATGTTTTATGCCGCTCCTCACTTGCACAGATTGAAAGTTTGTCATGTCTGAAAGTGGCTTGTTTTGTACTAGTGTTTCCTTCTCCTCATTTTAAAAACTCTGTCCTCTTCCTCCTCCAGGTGAGCCTGATGCACAACGGCTGGCCGGTGATCTCGGCGTTCGCGGGCGACCAGGATGTGACGCGCGAGGCGGCCAGCAACGGCGTTCTGATCCAGATGGAGAAGGGAGACCGGGCCTACCTCAAACTGGAGAGAGGAAACCTCATGGGAGGATGGAAATACTCCACCTTCTCCGGCTTCCTGGTGTTTCCCATGTAGAGGAAACCGGAGAGGAAGAGGAGGAGCAAGGGGTGGAATCGAAGGAGGAGCTGGTGGAAGATGGAAAGTACGACGAAGGTGGGGATGGAGAAAGAGAAAAACGGAAGTGAATGAGATGGCCTTAAAGGAGGAGAAGAAGGAAAGAAGAGGGGATGTGACAAGAGACTTCTGTTTGGGACGCAGCGGAGGGTGGAGGGAAGAGGCCGGATGAGAGATGTTAGAGCGATGTAAGAGCATGACACAGAATGATTAAACAAGGGTAACGCGAGAGGAGAAATGTGGAGCCAGTACATGCGAGTGTACGGCCAGCTTCTTCACTTCCCCTCCTCCTTTCATCCATCCTGTCATTCATCCTTTCCCTCTGTTTTCTCTGTGGCTCGACTGCAGCTTTGGACAGCCAAAACTTTTTTTATTCTCTGCTGACAGACGCAATTGATCATTTATATGTTCCAGAGTGTTTTAAAGCCCGAGCGTAACCCTCCCCTCCGTCCCTCCGCATCCGTCATTCAATCATTAATTCATCGATCTCCATCTATCGAAGCTTTGAAGAATGTTTCTCAGAGAACTGCTCCCTTCATCTCCCACTTATTTTGTCTTTGTTTTCTTATTCCAGACATAAATCGCACTGATTTTGGATCAGCCTCCGCCACAAAGCCAAACTAGAATTTTTTTTAAAGGGGCGACGCTGAACTCTGATCCCAAAATCAGAAGCTGAGGAAACATTTACCTTCCTGTCAGCTTTGTTTTATACTTAGAATAATCACTGTCTCTCCCTGATCCCTTGACAGTCATGTGTCCCTCCCCCTATTATTTTATCCGACTACTTACTCCTTGCATTTAGTCCCGCTCCTTCCCTCTGCTTCCCTGTCTGTCTCGTCCCTTTTGTCTTTGACTCCGATGTCTCGGTTCCTAACGGCAGCCGGCAGTAATGGTAAATATTTGCTCGCCAGCTGTGAGCATCAAAAACGTCTTCAAGTCTAAGAATAGTCCACCGCGGTGTCCAGCTGTGACTCACAGTAAACACTTAGCGTAAGAAACCACAGCTGACATGTTTTCAGTCCGTGATGAAAATCAATATGTGAAGTAAAAATGCAAATATTAGATGAAATATGAATGAGTCCAGTTTCCCCAGATTTTTATACGAACAATCTCTTTGTGAAGGTAACGTCTCCCCAGACGAGGAAACATTCGCCAACACATTTACCAGGAAACCAAATGTTAAGTGAATTCATTTTGAATGCCCCCCCCCCCCACCCCTCGGCTGGATTAACCTCCTGCAGGGTGATATGTTAATACTCGACATGTTTTGACTGTTGAGTTTGTTCACTTGAGCTTCAACACTGAACAGTCAATCGATTATTAAAGAAAATAACAGTCAGATGTGGTGATGGTTGAGCTCAACTTGTAGCTCTCTGACAAATGAAACATTTGCCACGAAGCATTGTGGATTCAACTTTTTGCGTACTGTGTTTTAACACAACTTATCTTAAATACTTGTATTAAAACATGACTTGACTCTTAGATAGTTAATTATGTCCAGTCATGACACTTGGTTAATGTTAGAAAAAAAGATCAGGGTCTTGGTTAAATATTGGAAAAGTAAATCAAACCCGGCTCTACAGATTACCCACAACCCCCCCCCAAAAAAACAACACAAGGGGGAGAAACAGCAATTTGCCTCCTCTGCACAATTACCCCAAAACAAAACAGTGGAACCCAAATGTTAGGAGATCTGGTGACCAACAATTTAAAATGCGTACCTCGAAGGTTACAGATAAAACCAAAATTAAAAACGGCAGTTTCACACTTCCGAAAATGCAGAATCTTTAAATATACAGGAGAGTTGATAACCAGGGGAATTCTCAGATCGACACCTGAATACAGATGTAATAAATTCCTCATGTAATCAATACTCCACCACAGCTCTCCTGTGACTGTATCTAATGAAGCTGATATTGGTATTGATAGAAGTCACACAGAGAGTATTGCTCTACTTTGCTACTTCAGTGTTTTTATCGTCTCTCTGGCAGCCAAACAAACGCTGGAATCGACCTCCATTCTGTCCAACCATCCCTCCTCCACACCTCCACCCCCTCCCTCCCTCCGTCTGTCTCTCCATCCCTGCTGCTGTTTTTCACAGCCACACCCCTCCTCTCCTCTCTCGACGATGCTGTTTACCCAGAAGAGCTGATTTCTCTCTCTTCCTTTATTATTTTTTTTTTTTGTTACCCTCCCTCTCCTCCGCCCCTCCACGAACCCGTCCGCCTCTCCGTCCTCGTGTCTGTACTTTATCTGCTGCTGTACTCGTTTGCCTCTCAGCACGGGTCCTTCCTTGCTTTTCTTCAACGTTGGACTTTTGGACACTGAAACCAACTTACAACCACAAACTCTATTATATATATAAATATATAAATACATAAATTTACACAGTATACGGATATATACATATATCGAAATCTAAGCCACTGTTTCTATTCTACTGGTATTATGATGATAATAATGATAATACTAATACTGGAAAAACCGAATCTGGTTGATGACTATAATATCTGTACTTCCGTACTTCAGTGTTATATAAAAGAAAAAATATTCTACGAGAAACTTACTAGTGATTGTGTGGAAAATCTGAGGCTGCCGTTCTGCTCTTCTGATTAAAACATGCTTCTTGTTTTTGTTTTGGGTCAAACCAAGTTGTGGCTAAAAAGCTGAATCTACTACTTCTATAGAAAAACCTGCAGCTACAGAGGACTTTTATTTGTTGATGATTATTATAACTATGATTATTATTATTATTATTATTATCTTGACTGTAAATTACATGTGAATATTTAGACGATGATGATATTCTTTGATTTCTCAATCAATCAAATCAATTTATCTACTGTTTTTTTTTATTTCTTTGCTCTGATGAAATCAATAAAATTTAAATGGGACTTTTATTTTTCTTAAACCTACTTTAAGCCTGGCCTGGCTCCTTCTTTTTGTGGAAGCTGGCGCAACTTCTGAAAAAGACACACACACACACACACACACACACACACACACACACACACACACACACACAGAGCGCCAGGTGTGTTCAAGTGTTCAAGTGTGTTCAAGTGGGTGGGCTGTGTGTGTGTGTGTGTGTCTGTCTGTGTGTGKGTGTGTGTGTGTGTGTCTTCAGATAATTTTCTCTTTTCTCTCAGTCCCTTCTTTGCTCTATCATTTTAATCTTCTCTTCCCTTCTTCTATATTCTTTCTGTCGTCTCTCCATCTTTGATTTTGCTCCTTTTTCCTTTACTTCCTCTGTCCTTCTTCCTCTTTACTTTTCTCTCTCACATTCCTCTTCCTCCTCCTCCTCCTCCTCCTCCTCCTCCTCCTCCTGTCTCTCCACTCTGTTGGTTTTTAAGGTTTTGTGGTTTGTTTCTCTCCCAGACTGTAATGAGCTCCAGGGGGAAAATTAGCACTGGAATAACAAGCAAACATCAACACCGTCTTCTCTCTTCCTCCCTCCCTCCCTCCTTCCTCCTCCTTTTCTTCTCCCACTTCATCTGACTTCATTTCTTCTTTATGTCTCGCTTTCCCGCCACTTGTTTCTCCTTCCTGTCCTTCCTCTGTAACACATTTTTCTTTCTGACTCTGTTCTCTGCCTCTGCTGCTGTGTCTCTTCTCCTCAGACTCATCTAGTGTTAAATGTCTCAGCTGTTTTTCAGAGTTTGTCTCGGTCACGATTTAGTTTTCAGTGCTTTCACATCTGCCTAGTTTGGTCAAGACCTTCAGGCTGTTCAGTTCGATCTGATGTGAGAAGGGCCTGGGACCGTCGTCTGGACACAAAGTGGGGTTCTCGTGGTTCGGTTCATTTGCAGCATGAAACAAGTTTTATTCATCATTCAGACTTTTATGCCAATTCCAGGAAGTTGAGACGGCTTTACCAAAATTGGAAAAGGAAAATGAACGAGGAGGTTTTGCTGGTAGCAATATCGTGATGGTATTAAAGTGGCAACGAAATTGACGAAGTGAAGTAGTTCATTAATTTTCTCCATTCAAACGGAAAGACAACATTTTGTTTACACACTTCATTCAAATAGGTTGCCAAATACGATGGATGAATTGAAAACAAGCCGATGTCAGATTCACCCCCGTCTACTAGAGATGCTTGACTCCTCCACCGGAAGAAATTATATTCTCCAATGAAGAGACTCCAATAGGAAGAAAACAAATTGTCCTCTGGTGACTCATCCAATTGGCCTGTGTCACCCCCCCACCCAACCCTACAACAATTTCTGGTTGTTCTATTGATCCTCGTGTGTAAATCCTATTTTTAACATTGTGATGAGCCTTCTGATATTTTTATTGATTTATCAGAAAAATAATGCATCGTTAGTGGGCTGATATTTATGGGTGTGTGCGATTTGGTGCAGATCCAAATACAATTCTGGATCAAGTCAAGTTTTATGTGGTTTCATCGGGCGACTTTAAGTTCACAGTCTTTATTTAAAAAAAACTTCTCATCCAAAAGCAGGTGCTGAATAAGAAGTGTTTAATAGTTTATATTTATATTATGTGTACAAGACTCTTCTCTCTACTATTTTGTGTTGTTTTTTTTAATTTCAGAGAATGTGTCTTTGTGTTAGTGGTGACATTATTGCATCATATTTGTGTGTGTGCGCGTGCGTGTGCGCACTCATTCACATACCGCAGCAGTGTGTGTGTGTGTGTGTGTGTGTGTGTGTGTGTGTCCAGAGGCCTTGTCCTCCAGCAGTAATTTGATTGTGGCAGAGTGAGTGAGATGTAATTGTCTGCAGCAGGTCACAGCAGAGCAAACAAAGTGTGTGTGTGTTCTCTCCTGTGTCCTCTCCCTCGTGTCTGGACCGTTATCATCCTTCTCTCCTCCTCCTCATCTCATATATTCTATATCTTATCTCCTCCTCCTCATCTCATATTCTATATCTCCTCTTCCTCTCCTTTCATATATTCTTTATCTCCTCTCCTCTTCCACTCTCCTCTCCTCCTCTTCATCTCATACACTCTATATCCTATCGCCTCCTCTCCTCCTCATCTCATATATTCTTAAGCATCTCTCCTCTCCTTCTTCTCAACTCATATTCTATATCCCCTCTTCCTCTCGTCTCCCTCGACTCTCCCTCTCCCCTCGTCTCCTCTCCTCTTCCCCTCTCAATGTCAAGAGAAAGCTGACAGTTGGGTCTGAGGCAGCATTATATTTTCAGCTCTATGAAAATGATCACACACACACACACACACACACACACACACACGCACACACACACACACACACACTCACACACTCTCTATAAGTTCCTGCTGCCAAACACACTTTTGCCCTCTCGCCCTCTCGCTGCAGCCAGATGGGCACGAAGGCAGAAAGACTGTGGACCAACAGAGAGCGAGTCAGACTGACATCTAGACAAGTGAACAGAACACCCGATGACAGATAACCTTTGACCTCTACCCAAACTGACCCGGTCCTCAGGTCACACTCTCGCTCAGTCAAATGCAGACACATGCATGCCAACACGTTCTCTCGGATGATCTGACACCTCCTCCCCACGGCGGTCCGCCTCCTCAGCCCCTGTCACTCAAACCACACATGCAAACAAAAAGCCGGAGAAATAAAACAAATGTCAAACGTGCAAATTTGAGTTTTCTTACTTTTAGGGTCAAATTTTTTTTTTACTGTATGTACATATATGTGAAGTTAAAGAACAGTAGCTGATCGTAACTGACCAAAGCTAGAATATTGAATCGTAATTCTATTCATATTTATAATGAATGATTTTGTTGTCTGTGACATTGAAGCATGATGTAGTGTAACTACCTCCATCCTGTAGGACTCCCCTGCTGCGTTCAGACGTGCACTGAATTTTCTGGAGCCCATGTTAGAGAACAAGTGGACTCCCTGCTCAATTGTCTGGACATTGTTTTGTCTTTTGTCTTCCATTGCATCTGATGTCCTGTTCTTTCATCACCGCAGCTGACTAAACTAGAAAAGTCCCCGTCAAGTCTTTTAGCCCAGAACCCGATCCGAGTCCTTAAATATTGAATATTAGCTGATTCAGAGTCTGAACCGATTCTGATGTGATCCAACAATCTATAATTAAATGGTGATTAAATATAGATCTTGCACATTGATATAATAGATGTAGCCTTTTAGATTTGGCATACCTAATTTATCATGTCCTACTTAATCCAAATACGAAAGACTTGGTTAAAAAATAATTTTACTGAGTTTCAATCATTGATACATGACTGAAGGTTTAAGGTTTTGAACTAGAATGGCACTCAGTAGTTCACATACCTCCAACAAGGCCCAACAGTCCCATTAAAGTCAACTGAGCCCCATCAGTGCTCACACACTCATTTAAATCAGTCCCCTTAACAGGCCTGATTCATTTTTTCATCAAGATCTTTTCATTATTTTATGGGAAATTGGTGAAAAATCCCATTCTGGCAATATTGAATAAACAGAATAAAGCCTTTGTGCAGATGCTAAAATGTAATTGGTTCTTTTTTTTTTTTTAACCCATGTCTCATCCTTCTACCAAATTTTGTGTTATTAGTTTTTGCGTAATCCTGCTGACAAAAACGAAAATCACCCAACAAATGAACTGAGGCGAACACATCACCTGCTTTTTGATGTAATAAAGCAGTGAACGCAGTTTATTTACTGCCACCGGTAACCACGTAAAGTTAATAACACTTGTCAACGGAGGAATAAAGTGCATCACCTTGTTTGAGTGGCCTGAAGTGTCCTCCTGCTGGAAGCTTGATAAACATGCTGATGCAAATCAAGAGTGAACCGAGTCTGTGGTTTTTCATGTTTAGTATTTTTGCCATTTCATTTTAATTGCCACTTTGTAGGAACAAAGAAGGAACAAGAAGAATTTCATCTTCTGATTAGAGAACTGAAAACGATCTGGATCGCCTCAGAGTCTATTTCAGGATGTAACAGATCCAGTTTGAAAGACATGTGATCCAGTTGATCCAGTTGATCCCCAACAGCTCAAACAAACCTGTGGATACGCCTTTAACAGATGTAACGCACCTGTACCGAAAACTTTAATGACAGTTGTTAAATGAAAGTTTTGGGTTCAGTGTGTGAATCGACACAACATGACGTCGTATTTATTCTTAAACAATTCTGGAAACCTCTGCTGAAGAGCTGAACAGACGTGAAGAAGAAATAGACAGAGCTGATCCCGACAGGATGGCAGGAGGGCGACTCTGTGACCGACAGCATCAGTGAGTGGGATAATCAGAGCAAGTGTGAGGGAAACTGAATCCAAAATAGTTTTCCAGATGTAGAAGTCGATATGAGAAATTCATCCCCTCCATACAGTTGATGTTTTTTTGTTTTTTTTCTCATTGTTTTTCACAATGGTTGGTTATGTCGTAATTCCAGCCTCAGGCTTTTTGACAAAACTCTATTGAGTAAATCAGTGTGAAAAGGGAAAATAAAAATCTGTGCCACGGCTCAACGCAACCCATGTAAAAACAATGTGAGCGAGGATCCCTTAAAATTTTAGCAGCCGCATTAAAGCTTAGAGCTGCTGACATAAATAGACATTTCCTCGTCTGCTGCAGGGGATAAAATGTTAAGTACGCTTTTGAAAACCCTTATGATGAAATATAGATCGTAGTCTTCCACTGATAATAATAGTAATTCCAAAGATTTTAAGGGTATTTGTGAAACAGTCTAGACTGGTGAATAAGTAAAGTGGGGGGGGAATTTTACCCAATAACACCCAGACCGATTTGTTTTGCTGCACCAATAACAGTTTGTGTAAAAGTGCCAGCGAG